TTCTGTCTAATATAGTGGTAAAGCCTTTTCAAATTTGACCCTCTTGTAAGACGATGCTCACGATTGATAAGAAGCTTCTTTACATGACCGTCAAGGTCTCGACACACTTTTCTGTAGAGGGTATTTTCCAATGGACGGTTAAGAGATAGAAATAATCTTTCTTTCTGAGCGACTAAGTTCCTTATATGTATTGGATATGCCGTTCGCATCGTTTGAGGAGTTTTGAACTCAACAAAATGAGAGAAGGCCATGTATAATTGCTCACAAAATCTTTTGTAGACATCACTAGCTGATGTGAAGTTGTCAAACAAGGTGAGCCAATCCACACTAAGAAAGTAAGTGTTCAATGCTTTATAGTTTACACTACTGAAATTCGGGACAGGGAGAGGTAAAGTGATCGCGGAGTCAGCGCTACGATGTTTCATGAGAATTTCGAACGAGACAATCCCATGGTCAGAAGAAGAGAGGGGTGGTAATACCTTCACATTAGCAATAATCTGTGATGAGCATAGTATGATATCGAGAATGTTGCGGCCGTGTGTGGGCTGCGTTACGTACTGCGTGAGGTTGCAGCTACTGAAAAAATCAAGAAATTTGGCAGAGGTATGGTTTACTTGGTTGTTTATACTCCCACTCTATGTTAAGGTTGAAGTCGCCTAGCAGAATAGTGTCGTTGCAGACTGAGCTAAGATCAAGGAGATGATCCAGTAATGTAGAGTCATCGGCTGGCGTAGTGTTTGGAGGACGATAGACCGAGATAATCCTCAGAGGAGAGGCGGCCCCATGCGTAACAATATCACAGCAGAGTATGTCTGGGGCAATGTTGGTGTTCAACTTCACTTCCGTGCAGTTGAGAAAAGACCTCACTATGCAACAGACTCCTCCACCTTTTCTCTGGGTACGGTCCTTCCGATACAGGAAGTAAGGGAAACCACCAGTCAATTCAGAGTCAAGAATATGCGGGGTCAACCAAGTTTCTGTTATTACGAGGATGTCAGGCTTCATTTCAGATAAAAAAAGCATGTAGATGAACTAATTTTTTGGTAATACTGCGAGGCATTGAGGAGAAAACATTTTAAACGATGTTCCTGCAGACCACCATGCATCGTTACAGGTTTCCCAACCTTTGGCTTGGGAGGTCACTGATATGTTAAGCTCTCCTCTGAAGATCACCCATTCATGTCTATCCTTTCCTTTATTTTTTTCCCTTGCTTGTTGCCTAAGTTCGTACTCCCTTTTCCTCTCTTCTGCTGTCATACTCTTCCTAATGAAAACATTTTTGAATGATGTAGACGCCTTGAGGCATTTAGCATTTCCTAAGGCCGTTTTCCAGTGACTCCTAGATGGTAGTACCAACTTGACAAGCCTAGGTCGACCACTCGGCGTACCCAATCGATAGAGTTCCACAGGACGGCATTCGACTGTCCAGCAGATCACTTACTTTATCCTCTAGATAACGCTGCTTCTCCGATGGTCGCATCTGAGGTGGAGCCTCTTCCAACCCACTTATAACGAGGCTACGGGATCGTTTTTCGGCCTCGACGGAGGTTGAGAACCTCTTTAAAAATTTTATCTGATAGAGCTACTAGCATCCTCCCAATGATCGGGTCTGAGTTTCTTTCCATGATCGCTTTGAGAAGATCGCTTGCGCTGTAGTTCGAAAACTCCACGTCTGATGATGAAGGAGCAGATCCCTCTTTAGACTCCGTACCCGCCGTGGGCAATGTTACCTCCGAGGTTTTCAAGTCTTTCACTTTGCGCGATCGGTCGAGTTTTGCGGGCGGCATGGTCAAATTTGCACGATCGAAACTCTAGGTCAATCAATAGAGAGAAAAAATGGGCTAGGAAGAAAGATAATATTGGGAACGGTCCGAGCAATGGGTTGAAACAAGTGAACAGATATCCACTATAGAAGCTATAACAGTTATGAGGCAATAGGAGAGGATATCTGCGTGACAAGAGCAGAATAGCTGGGAAAGAAATAGGAAAAAAATAGATGAAAATGAGAGGCTAGCGGCGACGCAGCCGCCCAGCGTGACAAACAAGGATCGAACTTGTCCCATTTATGGGCACATTCTGAGTAGCTGTACCTCATGAGTCAGTGCTATTCAACTATTTCGATTTTCACGCACCATTGAACAAGATTGTTGCTGGACGTTGATCCTCATAGGCTATACAGTGGATCTGATTGCGAATATAGTAACTTGTGTGGTGTCAATTATAGCCAATTTGGGGTCACATCTGCTTTCCACTGGATTTGTTATCTATACCTATACAGGGAACGTTCAGCGCTATTCTGTCGCCAAATTGCGTGGACGCCAAGAATAGGTGTTATATTTGTGATCAGGGCCACTGATTACCACTAAAAACGAATTTTCGGTCAAAACAATTGTTTTGACCTTCTTGGGTTTGCTTATTGGGTTGTCCGGGGTCCGTAGCGTCAACGATACGCATCGCTGTTACGAAGATGTGAGACTCCGCTCACACTGCCGACCAAATG